ACGTCATGATACTGTCAGTATATGTACTTTTCTAGTTGGAAGGAGTCGACTGAGAGATCGCAAGGGCTTCAAGAGAGGCACACGAACCAGAGTAAGACAGTTATGGGACTGTCTGTGTCGTATCTTGCATCCACATGTCGATACGGAGCATTGTATGACGCTATATCACTTGTGCGATACATTCTATACATCTGGGGGACAATCTAAGACCTCGATGTGACATTATATGACTTCTTGGGGCTCTGATGGGCCTCTGCGGAACACTAAAAGCTTCTTAGGGGGGGTTGACTCACTTTTTTTGCCCAGCCAAGAGTCTGCGATGAGACTCACATGATATGAGTGAATTAGCAGAGGCTCTTGAAGGCGTTGTACACTGCTGTGTGCCGGTCAATGTCCCAGTCCAAAGAGGTGAGGAAATAGAGGGTGTGCACGAATTTGACACACACACACACACACACACACACACACACACACACACACACACACACACACACACACACACGCACACACACACACACACAGGGGGGTTATTAAGGGATGTAAAGAGTCCTGGAGGAATGTGCGTAATCATGACATCATGAATATTTAGGTTTGATGATTAAAAACCACACGAGGACCTGGGTTGTCACGCGCACTGTGGTATCGCTCGTCATGAAACAGTTGTGTAATAGTTGTGTAACGTCTATCTCTAAGAGACAGACGTTAAATAACACGCTTTTAAGAGCAGCAGAAGGTCTTCCTCACATCTCGAGTAGAGAAAACGTTCTTCTCCTTGTCGCTGGGACCTGAGGAGCAGCTGTTCAAGGTGCTTCTGTTGGCGTTATCGGTTTTATTGGACGCTCCCATAAGCAGAGGAATAAAAGACATTTCTGAAATTCCCGATGCGTGAAAGAGAGATGATGAAACACCTGAGTCCGCTCTGGTTCCGTTCTACCCCGTCACGGGGAGCTCATTTAGTCAGTTACTAAGTAAACGTGGCTCCTTCAATATGCAAGCCGACTGAAGTCAGGTGAGATCACGTGACCCGTTAACCAGTTAAACCAGTTAAATCAGCAGAGCACCAACGACTGGGAGTTAGAGACCCTGGAGGCTAGGACCCGGTTCCCCATGACAGACCACAACTGAGGAACCAGACCTCTAAGGGGGGAGCGGAACACAGGTTCTGGTACCTTTCATGCCGTAGTAGGAGAACCGCTCGCAGAACTCGTTGACCACGATGAAGCAGATGCTGGTCGGGTAGTTGGTCCCACATAGTTTCTGTAACAGCAATTAGTTTCATTCAATACAATTTACATTTGGGAAGAGAGAAAGTTTTAAAAACCTGAGCTCTGCATCTTGACCGTCGCCGTTTCGTTTGTGACTAGCAGTAATGCGAGGAGGCGGAGCTAAGTTCAACCACGTGTTAAATAAGATCTTTTGTTTTAAGTCCGAAATGTTACAATTAACTTTAAAGATTTTAAAATAAAACTGTCAAATTTTTCACCACTCGAAAGCGTCTCCTGCTTTATGGTCTGTTAGAGACCTGTCAATCAGCGAGTAGCCCCGCCCTAGAGCGCCCCCTGCTTTATGGTCTGTTAGAGACCTGTCAATCAGCGAGTAGCCCCGCCCTAAAGCGCCCCCTGCTTTATGGTCTGTTAGAGACCTGTCAATCAGCGAGTAACCCCGCCCTAGAGCGCCCCCTGCTTTATGGTCTGTTAGAGACCTGTCAATCAGCGAGTAGCCCCGCCCTAGAGCGCCCCCTGCTTTATAGTCTGTTTGACTCCAATTGGACCATAATGTACTAGATGAACATCGTGTTGTGATGAAGAAGCCTTGGAACTAGAGACTGAAACCATAAACTCATGTTTACAATGTTTACTGAGGGAATAAATCAACAGAGAAGTAGAGTCATTTCCTCATAGACTTCTATGGAACCAGGAGTCGCCCCCTGCTGGTCACTACACAGAATGCTCTGACTTCACTTTAAAAGGACCAGATGCTCCTCAGTAACTCAGCTTGTGTTTCTCCTGCATTCACATGGAGACACCACAGAACCACGTGATCTTGTTTACTATCTTCTCAGAATGTTTACATAAACTAATGGAAGTTTTCCCGTTTTAAAGCTTCACCAGAGCAGCTGAGGGTCACGTGACGTGGAGCGTCAGTAAACAAATATCTACATATTCACCACAGTTTGGCTGCAATGAGCCAATCAGAGGGCTCCAAGCGGCCCGCAGCATCTGTGATGCCTTAAAGACCTGGTCCGGCAGACCTGGTCCGGCTGACCTGGTCCCGCAGACCTGGTCCGGCTGACCTGGTCCGGTAGACCTGGTCCCGAGGGAACAGCGCACCGAATCTCACGTGCTCGGTCGACTCTAAAGGACCAAGCACGTCCCTTCACGTCCGCAGCCCGGTGACATTTTTCTTTAGTTTTTATAAAACTCGTTTAAACAGAACGGCGGCGCGTGCTCTTACCTTCGCCATGTCTGCGCGTGCGTGCGTGGAGCTTCTGAGGAGAAGCTCAGTTAGCTTCAAGTTAATGTTCCACCACCAAGAGAGCTGCTGCTCGGAGAGGAGCTCTGGGGGAGGGACACTCTGGAAGGGGAGAGGGAGGGAGGGGGGGGGGACACTCTGAAAGGGGAGAGGGGGGGAGGGAGGGGGGACACCTCAGAAAAGATACTGGGGGAGGGACACTCTGGAAGGGGAGAGGGAGGGAGGGGGGGGGGGGGGACCACCTCAAAAAAACACTGGGGGAGGGACACTCCTGAAAGGGAGAGAGGGGGGGCATCCTGGGAGTGGGGCACCCTGGAGGAAAAACATCCTTGAGGAGAGACACCGTGGGGGAGGGAACCCAACACATTCGCGGCCATTGTGCGAACGATATGAAAAATTCTCTAACATAACTTTTTAGGGTTTTT